CGGTAAAGAGTGAAGTATAATTTAGAGAATTATAAAACTAAGCGAACAGTTTTAATACCTTTAAAAGTTAAAATATATAATTGATTTCGAACCTTTCAAATTTTGTATAATATATATTACTACAATTCTCAATTTACCAATCATGGTATGTCTGTATTTTAAATGTAAATTGTTAAATTAAAAATAGATAGTGACATATCCGCGATATAATAATGTGTAAATTCAGTAATAAATAAGCAATAATTATCATTGCTGTTGATACTAATATTAATAAGGTTAACAATAATGAAAGCTAAAGATATTTTAATTTTTTTTTTAAGCATACAAAGAACTTTTTTTTAATATTGAATTTTACAATTAAATCAGTAGCTTATAATTTTATAAATGCAAAAAGTGTATTATCTTTTAGCTCATACATATAAAACACAATTGTTACTGAATGTAATTTTTATAATAAAATACTGTGAATTATACGCTAAAAAAGAATGTGAAATCTATTTCATTGTATATTACAATGTAGAAAAGAGGTATGTAAAAATTATGTTGGATAATTATAACGATATAAACGGATTGTTGCAATACATTAATACATGTATTTTTAAGCCAATAAAGCGATTTATTATTACATTGGTCTTCCCATGCCACGATTCATTGGAGCTTGTGGTCCATTATCCTGACTACTCTTAGGACTCCTTATAGTTTCATCAACAGATAAAATAAGACATGCTGCTTCAGTTGCAGCTGTTAGAGCATTAATTTTTACAACTGCAGGTTCCCATACATAAGCTAACATATTATCACCAATATTTTCAGTGTTGATATCAACACCATAAGTGTGCATGCCTTTATGTTGTTTCTGTCGTAATTTATTCAAAATATTTGTTGCATCAAAACCAGCGTTATCACATAATTGTCTAAAATTATTGTAACTATTATTTTATAGAAAATTCAAATTATAATAAAATAAAAATTAAAGGAAAAATATGTACCTTGGAATTATTTCGAGTGCACGAGCTATTGCTCCAATTAAAAGTTGTTCTGTTCCCGCTATTAGACGTGAATTATCTCGTAATGTTTTTGACAGTACCATTTCTATAGCTCCACCACCAGCAACATATGCATTTGTTTTAAATAAACGTCTCACAACCATGATAGCATCATGCAAAGACCTTTCTGTTTCTTCCAAAAATTGTTCTGCTCCTCCACGCAGTATAAATGTACACGTCTTAGCACGTGATCCTTCATAGAAAAAGTTGAATCTAAAAATAATTATTCCGATATTTTAATGGCTGACAAAACCTTTTAATTATATAATTGATTGTTTGTTGTATAAAATACCTTTCTCCTCCAATTTGTCTTTCCTCAAACATTTGACATTTACCAAGATCTGATTCTTTAATATCATGTACAGTTGTTAGAATACTTCCACCACAAGCTTTCATTGTTCTTTTCAAATCTTCTTCAGGAACTCTACCTGCACAAAACATATCACGATCTGCGAAATATTGTGTAGCGACATCACCAATTGGTAATTTTGACAATACAACTTGTGCTCCACTTTTATGCATTTTGTCAAGTTTGTCATATAAAATTTGCCATTCAGCATCAACTATTTTTTGATATTCCGTAACATTATCTACGCGTACTTCAGCGTTTTCTCTTTCTGCTTTAAGTTCTAATTCTATATTCAATAAAGCAATTTTACAATCTTGATACTTTTTTGGTTGCATTTCAAATCCAGCATAAGAAAATGTCTTTTTGAAGGCTACACCCTTGACCAATTCCGAATCTTCTAATGCTCCACCAGAAACCTATGTAACATATATAATGATAAACAAATTTATCATAACATTCTCAGATTAATTTTTAAATAAAGTTACCTTTTTAATGCCAATCATATTAAGAGGTAACATTTCATCAAGCATCATAACAGCTCTCACAACCATGTTACTGAAGAAGTTTTTTTGCTGATGAATTAATTTTGAACTCATTGATGTAGCTGCACATTCTTCCAAAAGTTCCACCAATTTTATTTGATCAGTTTTATCTATTTTTACACTCACTGCATTTATTTTTTCAATTGCTACTTGAAGTGCAAGACGAAGAGCTTTAATCATAATACGTGGATGTACTCCTTCTTCGATAAATGGTTTCATTTGTTTCAAAAATTCTCCTGCTAATAAAACTACACTTGTAGTTCCATCACCAACCTATGATGTCAAAAATAAAATTAAGATATTGAAACATTTGTCAAGATAGACATAGTTTAATAAAATGTTTGAACACTGTTGAGATAACCACATATCTTTAAGATATTATCAGTCTATATGTTCTTAAAATATTGTTCTCTGAAAATAAGCTAGTAATGTTATATGTCAATCACATTACTGCTTTCATTTTTTACAGAGTTACTAATAGTCATGAAATATTATTTACCTCTGCATCTTGAGATTTTGCAATATCTACTAAGGTTTTTGCTGCAGGATGAACAATTTCTAAAAGTTTTAAAATGGTTGCACCATCATTTGAAATAGTAGCTTTTCCATTTTGATCAACAATAAGTTTGTCCATTCCTCGAGGACCTAAAGTTGTTCTAACAGCATCTACTACTATTTGACACGCATTTATATTTGATATTAGTTGTTGTTTTCCTTGTGCAGCATCTGTGCCTTCTTTAAGTAAAATTATTTGAGGTTGCTATAAAAAAGACACACACATATGTATATATATATAAGTTGAATATAGTTAATAATAAATTGTTCACAAAATAAAATTATTAATAATAATACTAATGATAATGTACCCTCATATATCTTCCCATTTTTAATGTTTTGTATTTTGAATGTACATGTGGCTTTAGTAATACTATGGAAGCAAAAATTTTCTTATGAAGTCTGTTAGATTTAACAAGACAAATGAACTAAGAAATAATTTTTTTTTTGTTATTAGGTAAATACATATCTATAGTAAATAAAATTCATTATCTTTCATTGACTTCGAAATTTTAGACATTTTAGTACGCATTAATCAAATTATTTTCACATGCATATTGTGGGAGAATGCGGAAATTAATTTCCATATAAGGTTAGAGCAATTCAACCTATAATACAATATTCATTTTTATGCATTTTATTTTGCTAATATACATAAGTTAATAACACATATGTATGTAATTTTTCGTTATTATTAGAAGAGATTATACTTTGTCAACATAAATATTAATTTTATAAAATTTTCTTAAACATGTAGCGCTGTAGTATGCAATAATATAAATTTAAATTTATATTTTTAAATAAATTTGTTTTCTGTCATTCGAATAAAAAAATTCATTCATAACTTACCATTTTTATAATCTATATTACAATTTTTCAGTTTTCTTCAAATTTCACTCACTGTCTAAGTGAAGTTACTTTGGTAACCTTTAAATAGTATTCGAGATGATTCTGCTAGGATACAAGCGTTAAGTACCGTTCACACTAAACGGAAGTAGATTCATCAGAAATGATTGACCAATCAAAATTTGAAATTTAAAGCTGATAACACATAATGTTATATTTAGAACAATTAAAATTTTTTAAATGTATAAATACATAAAAATAAGATAAAGAATGAAATATAAATTAAAATCTTAACACATATGGATAGAATTATTTTAATAGTATTATTAAATATATAATATTTCAAAATTTAATAAGGTATTTGGATACGATAATATAATATGAAAAAAGTAAATCAACTTATTACATAATCATTTGACTTTTAATTTTTATTAATTTCTCATTTTCTAATATATTATTTTTTATTCAAACATGAAAAAAATATTCAAATGAAATTTCGTTACAATTATTATTTTTCTGTAATATTAAACATATATATGCATGTTTATATTAATATTTTAATAGTAAAGTTTAATAGTATCATAGAGGAATTAATTTCTGTTATAATTGATTACAATATGTAATATTTGTACAATTTTATCATTTTACCTACCGTTTTACTTATTTTCTTGTCATTTCACCTACTTGATGTGAAGTTTTTATAAACAAACGATAGATGGCATTGATTTTAACGAAGATTTCATTCATCGGTCAAAAAAATAATTGAAAACTAAAGGGTTTAGTGTTACTTAACATCACAAGGGGGTGGTATAATTCGTGACCTGATTACATGAATAGAAACTACGATTCAACATTTATCGCTTATTTATTTTTAAACGGTGTAAGAGTCGTTTTGCAAATTTCGTTTGTATATATTTAAGTATACATCTATTTTCAAGCAACCACCGACTCTGGCGTTTAGCCCAAGTGTCGAATTATTCTAGTCGTGCTAGAACTTTTAAGCGAGGTGTACAAGTTACTAAAATTTTTATCGGTAGCTAACAATTCTAAAAAGTGTTTACTTTGTATTACACAATACTTTTAACTTCAATTGTAGTCCAACGAAATCGTATATTTGTGCACGTTGTGGAGCAAGATATTCCTACTGTCGAGGTAATAGAACATAAATTCCAAATTTAAAGTATCTGCATTATATACGTCGTAAATAATTCCATATGCTTATTTTTATAAGATCATGATTTTTATTTCTATATATAACTATTGGTGCTTTCTATTTTTTCTTAATATTATTAACATTTGTACTTATTGGCAGTTAAGTGATCTTTGAGATTATTTAATTCATATTTACATGTGTTAACATTGGGCATGGTAGGAAATTCAGGATGCTAATGGGTGTATGTAACATGAATTATGTACACAGATCGTATACTGTACCATCTTGTGTGCAAGATACTGACCCTACATCGTTGCACATGCGTAAAATAACTCCCACCTGATGACGAGCCAATGACAAATCGATATGTTCACGAAAGCTTTGACTATTCTCTTAACAGTTAATAGTGAAATCTCGGATCTGATGGGTCTAGAGTAGTAAGTAAACAGTTACATGCACTGTCAATATATTTTGATAATTTCAAGTTAAACTTATCGAAGCACTGTATAATTTGTGTAGATCTCTAACCGCGCCATTGTTATTGTTTACCGCTTTTATTATCATTATTACTTTAATTACTTAATATACGTTAGATAAAATCATAATAATTAATAGGTATTGTAAATATTTAATATAAACAATTCAATTTTTATATATTTTCAGTTAAAATTTTCAAGATATTACAAAATTCATACACGTTCTCATACATGTTTTTTCATCGAAAATCAGTTCATGTTCTACGTGCTTTTGTACTTTTACTTGGATGCGGTATGTTTCACATAATTTGCTTTCATAATAATACATAAGTTAAGTGAGCACTATTTTTTATTTAAACCAAGACTAAAACTATGAAGCTTGTTTAGTATTAGAGAAGACAAATTTTGAATGTTTTAACAAAATATTTTATCAAATAATATCAAGTTTAACAAATAATATAGCTTTGAAAGGACTATACAAAAATTCGATGTATAATGAGGAAAACGTTTAGAAAATTCGATCTCTTTCTTAATGATACCAATTATGGGATTTTAATTCATTAATTTACTTTCATTAAGGACGTGTTAGTTTTAATTTTTTCATGTGAAGCACTTATCATATTTATCATTTAAGTGATACCATATCGAAATAGAATAGCACAGAATTTAATAAATAAATGTCACTTATACAAACAAATATAATATTTTTTTTAATCGCTTGCAAAATTATATATATTATTTAACAAATTATTTTGTTAAAATATATTATAAAAGAATAATATTATCATGAGTACTGGAAAATAATATAAATAATAAAATAATTGCATAAAAATATTTTATATGTTTATCATGTACTAATTGTTTTTATATTTATATGATACAGTTAAGGTATAATTCAGAAGGAAAAGGTTAATATAATCGAAATAAGAATTAAAAAGTAATTTATAAGAATAGGTAATGTTCACGTAAAACTAGAAATATAAGCCAGTAAGTATTTATAGCACAATTATGTAGATGTACATCAATTTATGTGGTCACTGGGCTGAACCTAATGCATAACGTTCAATTTTACTGTGAAACACTCACGTATTAGTTTAAAGTTCAAGGGAAATACATATAGACAGAAAATATAAGAAATAAAATAGACAAGAGAGGATCAATATAGCCAGATGAAATGTTTTCGTTGCTGTAAAAAACTTGTACGAAACTAATGCATATAATCATAAATTATGCAAGACTTATAAAAATCTTTGTAAGTTAAGAATAGATCGTACCGACCAGGTAAAAACTCGTAGAAAAATTTTTTTCTTAAAATCGTTATCAATTTTTCTCCTTACAATACCTAAAAGATATTTTTTTTAACTCATTCGTGTAAAATAAATTTATATAAGATATTTTACAAGTTTTTATAACTTCTAAACATAAAGATTAAACTTGAAATTCGTCTAAAATTTGAATTTATTTTTAACGAAACGGTAAAATGTATTATTATATTCCTCGATAAATAGTTTAATAACAATAAATTTATTAAACGAAAAAAGTAGTAACTATATGAAATTTTATAACTGTGTTTTGTAAAAGTGTTAATAAAAAGGTAATTTATATTAAATTCGACTGTGTGTTTTTATTTAAATAGATAAATTAAAAAAGTTTTAATAAATACATAATCTAAACAAAAAATTTTAATCTAAAAAATAGCTAAGGAACTACATTTCGTTAAACATCTATAACATTTATAATTTATATTTGTACGAATGTTTTTACGATAGGTGGCTAGTGATTGTAAAAATTATCTATTTTTTAAATTGTATATTTGTTAATTTATTTTACAAATGATAAATCAATTATTTTATTTTATTAATATTACACGTGTTACATAGCAAATCATGAGGATTTATGTTAGAACTTTCTAAGACAACGTCTTAAATTTTTTTAATTTTCACTAATTTTTTAATTAGTGGAAACAATTGAATATGGACACAAATTTCATATGATAATATTATAAAATTTTGTGTCCTATATGGTATCACAATATATGTTTTCTGAAAGTGGAGGTGTTTCAAAAATTTTTAAGTCAACTCTATCTTTCTCAATTAAAGCAATATATATTTCATGTATCAATTATCATGTTACTTACCTTTGTTCACAAAATATCAAAACTTTTGTCTTTAAAATTAGTTTAAATATAAATTAACAATTTTTGTTAAAGAGGAAAATAATATTTATTACAGCCATGCCACGTTATCTTGATCCAGTGATAGAAATGGTGTATATATATAAAAAATTTAAAGTCACTTTCATTTCGTAAAAGATAATATAAACATGCAAAATTGACATACATTATCCTATTGGCTATAAGAAACCGTAGAAATTATTTCTCTTTCACCTTTTTCTAATCACAATAGTCTTCGAAAAGATCGCTGGCAAATAATAGCGTGATCACCCTGTATCGTGGTACTTGTCTGCAAATTTTATATTACATAACAATTTCAAACCGCAATTTATTCTATTTATTCATTGTACGTTGCTATGATCCATAAAGTAAAAATTTCGAGTACACCAAAGGTGAAGACGAGCAAAGCATACAGGATAACCGAGTTTCTAGTTCCTCTGCCATCATGCTAATCTTTCCTCACCTCTGCACAGTATAGTGGTAAGCGAGTAAAATAAGACCTAAGAAATATAGATACACGAACACGTAGCTTCCAAGTGATATTATAGCGTTAAAAATAATCTAATCTAGCGATAAACTGGTATTTCAGAAGCAAATTTCAATCGAAGAATCTTCTACTTTAAAATATTAAGGTCCGCTTGATGAATAGACTATCCGTGTCTAGAGTTGAACCTTGTGGATTGGATTTCTTCTTAGACTCGTAAACTGCAAGTCGAACACACCTTGGTACACGATTCTTTTGTTATTGGTTGGTCGCCAAATTTATCTTAGGTAACTCGCGCGAATGACAAGGAGTGATTGATCCATGGATGTGTTCGTCTCGAGTGATGGACCTTGAACTTCAATGTCTTAAATGTTGGACTATTTCATACGATACTCGAGTGACTAACTTGGACCAATCGATGTTGAAGGACTGCATTGTTACGATTCGTTTCAAGCAACCGCTGCCAAGTGACTGCTAGAAATTCCTTCCATACCTATTCGGCTGATAGTTGCTGAGGTGATTCGAGCAAATGCTTTTCTCTCCAATTTAGCCAATTTATGTTCAATCGCAGTGAAAATCCTTGTGAAAGACACGAAGGCTTGTATTATATTCATTTTTCAAACTCGATAGTTAGAAGTATGCAAGACAATTTCCAATCAACATGCTTCTAGGGTATCGTGGACACCTTCCATGGGCTCTTAAAGTGTTCTTCCCTGGACAGTGCAGACGGTTTTTGGATGAACTTTGGACCTCGAGATTCTGGACGATTTGTAGCCTGGTATTCGAACACGCGAACTGTTATTGGCTGTTTTAAATTGAATACAAACATTGAATTTATATTCGATATTCGCTGGTTCTGAAGGACGGTTATATATATATATATATATATAATGTTCTAAAACGTTTATGACAAATGATGAATGGTGCTGCTGGCAATACGCTAGAGGCCTGATGCAGAAATAACTTTGTGTCTTCAAGAACGTGTCATAAACTTGCCAAATTTCCGCATACTTTTCTTCAGAAGAGTAAAATATTGGCTAGAAGTAGTGAAAGGATTAGAAGTTTCTCTTGATTGTGAGTTTTATAATACATCCAGGTAGATATTTGATAAATTCTTTAAACCTTTAGATTATATATGTATATAGCACACAGATGATACAACTGTCTGATTTGTGTTATGCTATTAGGATAGTAAGCTGCTTCCTTTTCAAATTTCTTCAGATGAAGGTTATCCAGATCTCTAATATACAAGTTTCATTATATTTTCTTTGTTTGCATATCTCTTTATTTCTTCTTAGACCAATGAAATGTGTCCTTAACCTTCTTCAGATGGAAGTTACGTACATTTCTGCAACCAGTAGTTAGGGTGTCATTCTATTTTTTCTATGTACTTTCTTGTATATCTGTACCTTTCTTTTTATTGTTAGTTTAGTGAAGTGCTTTTTTCAACCTTCTTCAAACAAGATTTACATATTTTTCTGCAGTTAGATAGTAGTTTTATAATTTTAATCCGATAAAAAATGTTTTAAACAGAAATTAATCAATTTTCAAATTGCGGTAAACAAAATAAAAAAAGAAAATTTTGTTTCGTTAGAAAATCATCTTCACTTTCTTAAATGTCATTTTATATTTTTGACTTAATAGTATTATATTTCGTATTTAAACGAATTCAACGACCTAGTATACCACTAGAATGCATATCTTTTTATTTGTTCTTAATGCAATGTTTTGTTATTAGTCTTCTTCAGATAAGGGTCACATACGTTTCTGTATATAGTTGCCCTTAAGTGTATCATGATATTTTCTAAATAATTTTTCTGCATATCTATTAATTTCTTCCTCGAAGGCTGAGATTTCTGAAGCTTGAAAAAAAAGGAAGACAATTAGAACTAGTAGACTCCCTTGTTTCTACAAATAGAAATATATAATAACAAATGTTACCTAATAATTCAATATAATTATCTCGTCCTTCGAACACGTCCCATTGGTTGCAAATTTATCCTTCACATGTTTACAATGTATTAGTTTGTTTATGAAACTTTCAAGTATCGATCATCTAAGAAAATTAACCAAATTATCATAGCAATGTCCACGATTTGACGAAATTCAATTAATGCACGAAAGGTGCATTTTTGTTAGGACAAGAGAGAGGCAGGAATAGAAGATAACTGTGAACCATATTTCGAACGAGAATTCGTGTCCATTGCATTGGAATCATCGAAAAATTTTGAGCAAATGAAGACTATTTGGATCATTGGTGGGCCAGGATCTGGCAAAGGAACGCAGTGTGAACGAATCACTGCGAAATATGGACTTCTTCACATAAGCAGTGGAGACCTGCTGAGAGAAGAGGTTGCCAGCGGTAGTGCCAGAGGAGCTTCACTGCAAGAAATAATGTCTCAAGGTTTATTTGTCCCGACGGTAAATTATATTTTACATCATCCAAGACGTGCACGTACATACACTGAGTGGGAGAAATATTCGTAGCCTTCCTATCGTCGATTTTGAACAGTTGCTACTAATTTATAGTACATTCCATGAAATTCTTATAAAGGGTATCGTATATTGGAGCAATTAAGCTTCGAAGTACTGTAAATTTTACTTAACAAAGGAAGATGTTAATATAACAAAAATGATATTTAGTGAAAATTGAACAGAATTCACGTTTGGCAAGTATTCGTACAGAAGAAATTCAAATTTAACTTTAATTTAAATTCAAATTTAATATTAAGATATTTACAAATATAGTAAATTCAAATTTAATATCAAGACATTTGTAAATATATAACTTGTACAGTAAGAATACTTCTGTGACACGAATTTTGTCGAAGTTTACTAAAATTTCTGTGTTTATTATATTAACGCATTGTTCTTCAATCAAATTTATGTCTTGAAAGCTTCGTTACTCCTATATACGATACTCTTTACAAAAATTTCATAAAATATATTATAAATAAATTGCAACTATTAAAAGTTAACAATAGGAAGAGTACAAACATTTCTATAATATGTATGCATGCACATATGCTATGTAAATTATGCACTTATTTATTACAAGTGTATAAATTATACTTATACAAATTATAGTATTCGAGAATGGACGTAGAATTTTTATCTTTTGTTCGATTCCAAAATCTTTGTATTCTATAAAATTGCTTGATAAAGCTTGACAAAGTTTATTTCAAAATTTTTCCTTTTTTTATTTTTCTTGGTCCATATTAACATATAAAGGCAAATTAAATGCCATAAGAATGTTTTCTGCAAGGACTCGAAGAAGATGAACTATAAAAATTCGGTATAAAATTTGTTAAAGTTGTTAGAAAAATATTTAATCATTCTATAAAAAAAGAAATAAAAAATTGAATAATAAATTCTTATATTAAAAATTATATATAAATTTTAATATTTCTATCATTTAAATCACTTTGAAAATTGATTACATGTAACAAATAAAAATATTTGAACAATCAAGATTTAATAAGCCATTTAAAGATGGAAATATCTATATTCTTTTTTTTTATGTAGCACAGTACTAATGAGAATATATAGCATAGATGTGAATTTCCAATATTTACAAAACATTTCAATAGATACTTAGGAAGTACGATAAGATAAAGTGAATGCCTTATCGCATACAGCGAATACATGAATCTCTCACTGTAATTTCCAAAATGTTTTAAAACAATTCGTAATATCTCTAAAAAATAATATCTCCAAAATAGAAAATTATTTCTATTATCTCTGCGACGAATATTTAATATATCGATACTCTGTGATTCTCCATTACAAAAAACTTGAAATTTTTTTATATTTTTATTTTATTTGAACTTCATCATTTTTATAAATTATTCTATTTAAATTATTGTAGTTTTACATCTTGCTGGTGTTATTTAATCGAAATATACACGTATCTTTCTTGTATCATTCATCAATATTTAAACAACTCTATTTTTCAAGAAGTAGACAAGGAGAATTTAATAAAAGTGTCTATAACTTTTAGATCTTGAATCTCGAATTTTTTTACAACGCATTGGATGTTAAAGAATGGTACAAAATAAATGATTAAAATAAAAATAGAATACAGAGAATTTTTCAGTCAGAACTTATGTATATTGTATTATCACACGATATAAAATTATGAAAATTACTAATACGAATAAATCGTATCTCTTATTAGGATACCGTATTGCAACTGATAAACGAACGAATGGAGAAGGCGAAAAAGGAAGGTAGCACGAAAACCGGATTTCTCATTGATGGATATCCCCGTGAATTAGAACAAGGACTCCTTTTCGAGAAGAATGTAAGCGTTAATGCAACAATTATGATATACGTGCATAAAATCGTACTTGGAGAAATTGATTAGAATAATATTGCAATGCTTAACAGAACAAAATAAGCTTTATTAATAGAATAATAGATTAATAGAATAGAATAGTAACTATGAATGCTTGTCCGGACTGACCACAAACTCACTTGACTTTTTATCCTCACGCTCTGACAACTTTCTTACAACTGACTTCTACGACTGACTACTGACTCTAAAACACTGACTTTAACGTTTTGCACTCTTTTGACAAGTGTGACTCGACATCTGTTTTTATCACAGAAACTCCTATGTCAAGTTTATTTCTTGATTCTTTATTTACTGAACAAGAAAACAGAAAATAAGTAACTTGTAGCGACCAACGTTAACGCCTTCACCGCTAGGTAGAAAAATGGAGGTTCGAGGCTTTTCGCAAGTCCTCGGTGAATCCTCGACTCCCATAAATACAAGTTCCTATCCTACCTAAATATCTCCCATTTAAGGCAGGGCCTGTTAGAAAACCTTACTGGCAGGTCCACTAGCAGGCCCAGCACGAAACGAATCCCTTACTTTGCGTCCTTCTACCTGCTACCTATCATAGCAAGACGGCCAGCACCATAGGATCCACAAGACTTCAGAACCCCCGTGGGGGTACCCCCATAAACTACTTGAATTACTTAACCCATTCGAGACCGACTGCACACCGTGTGTGCAATTGATTTCCGAGGCTTTAAGACTGGTTGTACACTGTGTGTGCAATCATAACAACGAGCCCTTATCTGTTATTCTGAGTAGTCGCTCCTGGGGACCGTGTTCGAAAAGAACCGCCGTCTCGAATGGGTTAAATTAAAAATTCATAGAATATTTGGTTTCTGAAAATTTCCTTTATTACCTACAGCCCACAAAAGTCAACCAAATGGGATTATGTGTATATGTTCTTTCGGATTCTAAAAGCAGTCACGTTTATTTCTTCGTTCCATATTATGAAAAACATAAAACTGACGAACTGATTCATCCAGAGCCTTTCACTGGCAAAATTGTATTACAACTGTATCAAAATTTATTGGAAAATATACCTGAGGGCAAGGGATATCATATTTTCACTGACAGTTCCGCACAAAGAAGTGCTTCCTCATAGGGACGATAATGGCTAACCGAAAGAGATTATCGCGTCAAATAAAAAATCCAAAGTTAGTAATTGGAGAAAAATTGGCATTGAGGAGAAATGAAACTTTCGTGCTAGCATGGAGAGACAAAATAATAATAACTATGCTTAGTACAAAATTGAGAGCTACAACCCACAATGCCTCTAGAAAGGCAAGACATTCCGATAGTCTAAGAGAAATAGAACAATTGGAAGTGATCATAGGTTATAACAAATATATGGTTGTTGTCGATATGGCGAGCCAATACGATCTTATTATGTTTTACATCGAACTGTCAGATGACTGTCTATAGGTAGTTACCTGTGTACATTAGATAAACTCCAAACTGGCTAACTTCCCCTTTTTATTAATCCTTATCGGTCTATTGCTCACCCCAACCCCGACTTTTTCTACTTTCTTAACCTTCGATCTGTAGATAACCCCCACTTACTTTCTAATTCACATATAAATATTGCCAATCGTTCCAAAATCGCCATTGTGCTAGTAGTCGGTTTGAAGTGTCACGGTAAAAGATCTGGTACTGTGCGTTCGAGAAAAGAAGGCACAGTGTATTTACACCCTCACGACTGATTAACTACGCTAATATTCCCTTGATCACAAACAGTGACCGATGATCTTTGTCATCATCTTCGACCAATAGCAGTCACTGTTTGTAATCACATGTAATCAAGCATGTGTCAGCGGAATAATTAGCCGTGAGAACGTAAGCACGCTATGCTTCTTTTCTCGAACGCACTATACGTACTCGGTCGCGTCGTTCCTTTGAAAGTTCGAATGTAAGCTTGTAACAAAAAGAAAGATTTACTTAGAATAGAACAGAACACTCAAATGGTGAAGGAAATATTTCTTTTGGGAATTAGAATTTGGCTTTTCCATTACTTATTTAAATTCTCTTATAAATTATTCCCAAAAGAACTATAATTTTCGTTCCACGTACGATTAAAATTTTTTTCAATTTTCTCAACTTACTTTAAACTTGGATTATTTCAAATTGCATCGTTACATCAGCATACTAAAAATATACTAAATTATATAAAATTTCTCTCGTTGTTAAAGTAAATGAGATGAAAAGCTAGGTAATATCAGAAGAAAGAAAAGGATTGGTTTTTAAATTTTTAATGAATTTAGGTGTGTCCCGTCGATTTGATTATCTTTTTTGATGTTTCGAATGAAACGTTGAAAAAGAGATTACTGGGACGTGCTGCTGTGTCGAACAGGGCTGATGATAATGCAGAAGCGATCGAAAGGAGAATTCAAATATTTAATACGAAAAATGGGGAGATTATTAAGCACTACGAAAATAAAGTTGTGAGAGTAAGTATCTACACAGAGTCTGTCTAATTATAGATAAATTTCTAACAATTAATAAACAATTCATGGAACGAGTAATTAATTAGAAATCATTTTGTTTTTAGATCAATGCTGAAGGCAATGTTGATGATATATTCGCAGAAGTTTCGAAAGCACTGGATCCTCTGTTAGCTTAATTCTTCTGAAATTTTAATTTAAAATTTAATCAAAATCGCCTAATCGCGCAAAATAATTTTCTTGGATTTCTGCGACAAAAATGAGAAATTAATTTTACAATTCTAGTCGATTTAAATCAGTGAGGGGATTCGACTTGCATCGGGTTTGCAACAGGTTTATTGAAAAGAAACTATTAAATCGAGCAACTTGCTCTTGCTAGCGATGTAATGATTTAAGAGAAACATCTAGTTACGAAGTAATCCGATATGTCCTAAAGAGTACCTGCAAATGCCCATTGTTATCATACTGTTTATAACTTTAGCGATTGTTTTGAATAATAATTAACTATATATTTTATGATCTTGACAAGCTTATTTTTATAGCTATATTTTCTTCCTTTAACTAAATCGTGAAGAATCAATCTTTCAATTTGCATTGTGTGTGCATCACTGGGACGTACAAGTTAATTACCTTCATCCGACAGTGAATACATTTGTGTACCGGATCAGTGAAAAGATTCTGAATGGTAGAGATGTCAGGCACATTCAACTAAATATTTGGCTGATCGAGATTTTTCTGTGAGCTCAAAAATGAAGAGAATTATTACAGTTTTGATATACATAACAGCGTGTTTAACATCACATTTAATTGTATGTGATAATTGTTGTCAGATTAATTCGCGACAATTACCCTATTATAAATTAACGAAATCCAACGCTCGTTCGAATCAGTTAATACTTTCAAGGACGACGGTTCAAAATGTGAACGAGTGTAGAAAGTTCGCTTCAATGAAGAAAGCTTTGGCATTTAATTATGGCTTAGAAAATTATCGTCGTGGTAAGATAATATGTGATTAAAAACATGTAAAATTTGACGTGACTCTGCTAATGATGTAAACATGCCAATGTTTTGTTTCTATCTACGAAGACTGGAATATCGGTATTCAGAATATAAGTAAAGTAACGAGGAAGACATGTCAAGCTCTTGAGTGTCCTGAGATTTACAACTTCACTACCATTGTGGACGATAAAAATTATAAATACTATAGCATGTATCCTAGCTTTATGCCAATTGGTAAAGCATAGAAAAATGGGATAAGAATATTAAAATAATATCTAACAGAATGCATAATTAAAATGTTGATATCATATTTCACAGAAGTGTTTACAAATTACTTTTAGGTTCTAGATTCACACTGGCCTGTGTCCCTAAAACAGGAATATTCGTATACTCGAACATTAACTTGAATTATAGCCAAGCACAAACAGCTTGCCAAAAAATAAATGCATCACTTGCACATATAATTAGCGAAGAACGTACTAATGGACTCGCGAAACATATTTCGTTAAACACACCTACTTTTGTTGGACTCAGTACCCGTAATAATGAAAAAATTTGGCAAAACGAATTTGGTACACAATTGCAATTTTATACAACAAAATCCTACCTCAATAAAAGGAAATGTATTAAGAGAATCGTAAGAATAGTAAATTCCATTATTAAATTGTATAATTACTATTTGTCAAAATAAATTTTTATGAAAACTATAACTTTGATAATCTTTTAATTTATTAATTAAATATGCATCGAAGAAGAAAAAACATAGCACGTTCAAGATTCAAATTCTAGTTCTTAATACTTTTCTTATGAATTTTAAACATTAATTTTAATTAATTAAAAAAAAGTTTTTTTAGGTGAAGCACTTTTATGTTTTAACTATCGAGCGTGGGGAAAAGGGCAACCATCGCATACAAAAGGGTGTGTCAGTCTTGTACAACCAGTGAAATTAGAACCTGATCCTTTTTGGAAAGTTGTGCCTTGTGATACCGAACTAACCTTTATCTGTGAAATTTTACCGATATATCGACATTCATATAATTAAAAAACGTGAAATCTATAGACAAATAAAATGTAATCTCGTTATAAAATGTAATTTTGTATAAAAAGTTTAAATAAAGTAATATATATATATATATTAAATACTTTTATTTCAGGAATTCTAGTGTACTACTTCTTAAAGGATACTTGATTCTTCAATGGTAAAACTAAAAAAAGGTACCGATCGTTGTGTTATTTATAACATTCTAATCTTAATGCAAATATGAATATAAAATATACAGATTTAAAAAAAAAACTAATACTATGTTATTATTGAAATATTAAAACAAATAAAAAGGATAAGTTGATATATATTAAAAACACAAATATTAATTATATACAGAAGTTTAATACGTGATTACAAGTATTTTTCTTGTCATTAACAGAAAAAAATTTTTCTAACAAATTATTTACATTTAAATTGCTCTGAATATATGATCAATAAGAAAGTAAAAATACAATTCTCACTCTTTGTTAATTATATACACGTATACAATTCTAGGACTATACTTTTAAAAATTCTGCTTCTTTTCATTATTTACTTATCATCTATCACATGCTCTCTAAATCAATTGCTTAATACTTAAAACCAGCTACTAAGCTGTATCAATACTTTGTTTATGGTTTTACTGGGATTCAGTAATAATACATTATAATAACAATTTGATTATATTAATGTCTCATTGCTTAATAACATTAATACAAGCATTAATGTAAAATAATAGATCAATTTTTAAAATGCTATGCAAATAATATATACACTTGACACAAATAATAAGTTATTTTGATACATGTTAAAATTCTCCATCAATAAATATTTGGAATGTTATATGTTACTATTGTATCGTTAAAAAAAATATATTCTTTTAGTCTATAATTTCATATGCACTAAACAATGAAGGTGCAATAATTGCTATGTACTTATTTCCATATAAACTAATTAATTTAAAATGGCTAAATATAAATTTAAAAAACAAAATAAAATGCAATAACATGCATACTAATTTTTTACACAAAAACGATTAACTAGCATTTACATTCTTCAAGTAAGAAATAAAGATTCTAGATAAAATTAACAATAATGACATGATTTTTATGATATTTAGTATGATACCATATTAAAAATAAAATGTATAGCTTATATTATATAATTAATTTAAAGCAATTAACGTGCATTATATAAATAAACATAAATGTTTACATATGCATGTTATTAATGGAAATATTTGTTTCCAAGGCAGAACATAAAACAATTTACATTATGCATATATTTAAAAATATTCATATAAAACAAGTTTCTATACTTTCATTTATACAAAAATGTATGTTAATACCACACAGACATTACTCCACTTCATTTGAAAAATTGTTGCTTTGTAAATTAATATGCTTTGTAAATAGTCTATAATATTCGTTTCTAAAGGAAGACGTTTATTTTATAAAAATTATATTTAAGTAATTATTTCATAAAGTAAACATACATTTCACCTAGCTATATTTTAAATTTTAATTTTATCATAAGTTTGAAAAAAAATTCTGCGTAAAAATTGTAAAATATAATTAATATTATATATGAAATTACAAAATTTTGTTGCTTTTACTTAGGACTATTATTGTCACATATCTTTCAAGGCTACAAGAAATTTAAATTTGCGAACAGAAGTCTTGATTTTATAGAATGTAAACATATTTTAACGTAAAACTCTTACATTAATGCTTTAGTTGTGATAATATATAAAAGTATAAAAGGATTTATTACTGACATTCTTTTATATGGAGTGATATCAATTATTGAACTTTTCATAAATGTGGTCAGTGTGCTATGCTGATTTTGGGTTAAATAGATTGTGTTTAAAATTATAATAACTAATATAAGTTTTTTCATATTATTTTTTGACTTTTTATAAAAGTGTGAAAAAGGGTAAAAACTAATGAACATATAACGAAAATGCTAATTAAAAATTGCTTGTAATTAGTGTAATTATTAAGATTAAATTTGACCAAACTACCAATTTAATGTTATTTATTTTTCATTGTGTCCATTTACTGTATTTATTCGATATAATTGATGAGAAATCAGATATAATTAGCACAATATCCATATAATACATAAAACATATACATTATTTTTATATGTACAATGATAGATATTGTAAAAAGAAACTTATAAAAGATTTTATTTAAATGTGATTAATATAAAATGCCTGCATAATTGATTAAAAACTGCATACATCAAAGTAATATTTTGAATTCTATTATGCAACAAATTTGTGCTCTCGTCTTAAACTTGAGGACGGATGCTACACAAAAAATACTTTCAAAAAGGACCTATTGTACCTTAAGCATGATTTAAGAGAAAATTCTCTAATGAATTGCAGCGCACACTGATAATTATAATATTATATTTTTGATTTACATATAAACCTTTTAAAGGACTTGTACTCATGGCATAATTATACAAATTCTTTCAGTAATTGAAATTGTCCTAAATTAATTCTATAAGCAAATATAGATACATTCTGTATACAATTAAATAATATTAATGATAATCAATAATAACAATAATAATAAAATAATAATACAAAAATTTCATATGAAAATAAACAAACAAAAGTATATATCATTCTAAAGCTGCCAAAAAATTAACATTTTCTAGTGTCTTTTTTGTCATATGCAAAAGAAATATTGTATATTTCATAATTATTTCACCCCACTTAATTATAGTTATGTCCCATTTAAATAAGCTACATCCAGCTGAAATGTGTAAAAATTTTATACAATACTAATATTCTACTTTATATATTACATCAGATATCATTCAAAATGTAATGACATAATTTTTAATTAAACAATAAATTAAAAGAAAGCTATAAAAATAGATTACTAGTAATAATGATACTAAAATTCTGATTATTATGAAGATAATACAAATTAAAGAATCATAAGGCTCTCATAATGTTTATTACATTTTTATTAACTTAACAATATCTCTATCTAGAAAAGGTTTGTATTGACATTTTGTAAAATCTTTTAATAAAAAAAAATTACTTGAAATTTGATTAGAAGTAAAATGAAATCATTACTTTTTGAACAATATACTCATTAACAACGACATTCATAGTGACAGTGTTAGTTTCATTGGCCCTGGCACTTCAATCCTATAATCACTGCAATCTGTTCGTTTCAGACTAGAATTTTTATGGTGATATATGCAGTAGCTAAATTGCAAATTACTGTAGGAATTTATTGTTTTCTTCAACTCATTTATGATGTTGAATATTTACATATTTGCATGTAGCTAACATATGATCTGAAATAATGTGATTATAATTGAAGGAAAGTTTAAGCCTGCTACTTTTTCCTGTTTGGATAAAAGGTTAAATATATTTCATCAAATACTGATGTAGAAAATTAAATATTGGTTTGCTTGTATTTATTTCATATATCTTTAATCATCTCATTCTATACTTAAAATTTCATTTATTTAAAAAAATAAAAAGATTTGAAATATTCAACAGTTTCGTGATTATATGGAACAAAGTTATTAATATGTAATTTTTTAAAGTGAACTTTAATGTATTTTGTCGCTCTATCTTATTTAGGATAAAAATTATTATTCATAGTTTGCTGCCTCATTTCATATTATAATACGTGATATAAAGTATCACAAGTATTTTATCATGTAGCACCATTTTAAGTCATTATATTAAACCTATTTTGTTTTAAATAGGTATACTCAATACTTCGTTAAAATATCACTTCTCGAAACTAAATAATGTTAACATTTTTATAACAGAGTTACAAAATTATAAAAAGGGAAAGTAAATATATTGGCACTTGAGCTATTTAGTGAACTTAAGAATAATTAGTATTATATTGTAAATGCGAGGCAGCTTCACAACAAAAACATAAAATGCATAGTCTTCACTGATTTAGCAATTTAAGTACAAATATACTCCTATAGTTTCGACATATAGTTTGAGGAAATATATCAGAATGATATATCAAGTTTTAAGACATTATGGAAATGCTTTAACACGTTCAACCCGAGGTGACTCACCAACGTAAACACTCGTAAACAGCATTTCTGTTAGACAGCATGACTGATGAGTCACATCTAACTTATACCATGAGATAGTAGTCAATCACATTGCTTTGAGTGTTTCATTTTTATTTTTAAGTATGTAATAGAACCAAATTTAATAAAATGCAAATAAAAAACATACGAACTTAAAGACTATGCCTTATAATGGTACCACTTTTTTAAAACATTTGGAAAGATAAACGATTATGAAAAGAAAGATATAGTTCAACTTTTAAATTATAAATGCTTGTCAGAAAGAAAGACATCAAGTAATTGCATGTCAGCTGACCAATAAGCACATGAAAATGAGCTTTGGGTTGAATGTATTAATAAATCTCTATGTACGTATATATCAGGTATCCATTACTAAAATATAGTAGGTTTACTTTAATTAAGTAATAAACTAATAATTTTTTAATAGATAGAAAAATTTGAAAAATTTATAATACGTATGTCTTAAAAACTTGTAAATGTCATTAAAAATAAAATGAAAGTACTATACAAGATACTTATAGTGAAATAAGATAAATTATTATAAACCAAAAAAATGTTTTTTTAAGTAAGGAATGATATATGGAATATTTTGTTTAGACAAATTAAATAAATACTGTTACCGTATCAGCGAAACAAATTAAATATGCCGCTATTAAAACAAATAAATATAAGAATTATACATTAATTAGAAACTATTATTCCATACTATGTATGATGGAAAATAAAATTGAAATAGCAGCATTTTACATGAGAGAAACATACTGTAAAATTTGTGTTGATTAGTCTGGGATGTTGATTGAAGATGGAAGAGGTACAAATTGTTCCAGAATCTGTCCCATTGTGTGTTGTAACATTGCTTGTTTTTCTTCTAAAGCAACAACCTGTTTTATATTGTTTCTATTAGTAACAAATTAATGTATTCATGGGGAGAATATTCAATAGATTTCTTACTATACTCACCCTTTCTAATAATTGATTGTAAAGTGCAAATGGAACATAAATAGGGGTTCCAGAAGTAGTTGATATTGGTTCGAGATATGGAGATGTGTCAGATTTCTGACTTTGACCTTTATCCTTTTGTTTACTTTCTTCACTTTCTGTTTCTAATTTGTTAATACAGTCAGCGACATTTGTTGTTGTTGCCAATGCTCTGCATTAAGGTTTTAAAAAAGATATATGAATTAAAAAACTTGTTTAAAGTGAATGAAAATATTTTTTCTTTTTCCAGTCTTGATTTTTCTATATAGGACATTTATTTTATTAATCTTAAAGAAATAAATGAATTTGACATAATATTACCGTGAATTGGGTCGTTCCTTCTTTTCTTCGGATTTATCTACACGATCAAGCGATACAATTTTTCTCCTTTCTAACTGATTTAATTTTAATTCCTCTACCTATAAATAATAATTTTGTCAAATAATAGTTTGTGTAATTGTAAGAAAAATAAATTATTATTATTAAAAAATAATATATGTATGTATGTATGTATGTAAATCAATATACAAATATACATATAGATGAAATATAGTGAATTACCCAAGGTGCTTTTCTTCTTGCTTTTGCAGCCAATCCTTCTGGTTCTTCTTCTCGTAATTGTTCTAACATAGTATCTGCATTACCATTTGCTAAACTATCTTCCTATTATAAATAAACAATAATGTATAAGAAGTATAAATACTTTTAATTGTATTGTTATCAGATATTCAATGAGTGTATGAACACTAACAGGTGTAGTAGTGGTTGTTGTGCTTGTTGATCCAGCAGCATGGCGTCTTAAACGTTGCGAAGAAGGTGGACGTCGATGGGGTGCTTTAGCTCGTGATGCTGTTAAATGCGAAAGCGGTGCTCCTTCTCCTCGCTCTACCCCATCTAGCTCTTCACCCAAAGCTGTATTGGTATTTCCATTACCATTATTAGTCCCCACATCACCTACAAGACGTTTCAGATTCGATGTAATGGAATGTCCTATAGTTTTTCTTTCTCCACCACTTCCTCCAACTCCTGGGGAAGTCATTGTTGTAGAAGGTGTTGCTGTTGATATGGCTTTCTTAGTTGCATCTATAATGAAAACAAAAATTCCTACAATTTATAGTAAAATAAATTATTTTATACATGGTTTTAAAGTTTACGCAACTAATAACAATAAAAACAACAATAAAAGATTAAATACCTGCATGTGCATCTTTTACATCCAAACTTTTTCTAGTATGCACTTTTCCATTTTTCTTTACCTGATGAGAATGTTTTGTAACAGACTTAATGGAAGCTTTAAGTTTTTGCTCGTGATCTTGATGATCAGGCAGAATATTTAATATTTCAACAAAATTATCAGGAAATAAACCTACTTGACCATTTAATTCTCCTATCCACCAACCCTAAAAATTATTTCATATTTTATTGACACGGATATATTCAGATTATATTTCCTTAAACTTATTCATAACTTATCTAAATATATAGTATCTAATTTAAATACTCTGTACCTTATCAGAGGCATTTGTAGATAGAAGAGTTATTATATCTCCTTCATTTAATGTTAATTCATCTACATTAGCAGCTTCATAAGGGAAAAGTACTTTACACATTTTTTTGCTATCTTGATCTTTATGTTTATCAGGTTCTTCACAAGCTGGAGGAGATACAAAATTTGAGGGAAAAACACCAACTCTGCCTTTAAGCCTACCTCTCCACCATCCCTCTTCAACCTCACCCAAAAATTCTATAGAATCTTGTGGTACTAAAGTTAATTCATCTTTATTACAAGGTTCATAATTAAAAAGCACTTTACAAAATCGTCTTTTAGATCCTCCATTTTTTAAGGAAACATCTTCAGATTTAGCACTACTAGCTCCTTCACTTCCTCCACTTCCTGTACTTCCAACTGTCCCACTTGATAAAGGTTCTAATACCTATATTTGACGATAATTATCTCTATAATTTCATATATGTAACCTTTGTATTAACGTTTAGTCTTTGTTAATTAAAATTTATATGAATAAATCTTATATCGCACATGTTATACTGATGCAAAATAAAAAATATATTAATACTGAAAAAATTAAAATTTACCTTGACAAAATTATCAGGAAACATGCCACGTTTATCTCTTAAAGTACCTTCCCACCAGCCACCTAACATTACTTTAATTTCTGTAATAATGTCTCCTTTCTTCAAAGTTAATTCATCAGGTTCTTGCGCTTCATAGTTATATTCTACAATTGCCTCCATTTTTTTAATTTTAACAGTAGCTTGAATTTTTTAACACATAAATATCACAACCTTGTATCTGTAAGAAATACACACTAGTTTACACGAAAAGCACCAAAAATACTGAATTTTCATGTAGATGCGTAAACAGACACATGAATGACATATAAATGACAGAATATGAAGTTTTTGAATCAAGTCACTTTTTAAAATAAAAGTTTGATAGGTTAATTTATTTACGTGGGCAGTTCAATATGAAATTTTTAGTCGTTTTCTTTGTAACGAGTTCTTGTTGCAAACGAATAAATTACTCTCCGTGAAAAAACAGACTGAACACAGAATGTAGCATACGTATGAGTTAAGACAAATTGCGCGTCTGTAAAAGTCATTTGTTCCTCGTGCATCCTCCACCTTTCATATCACTGCACGTACTTATTATATTCATTGTATTACAATATTTAAAAGATGTGTCGTTGTAAACTGAAAATTTAGGCGTATCCCATATACGGTTAACAGCTCGATATATCTGCCATCGCGGCCATCTTGGACTCCAAGCTCAAGTGAACTTCAAGATGCAATTTGTGCATAAGGTGCGCATGCTAACCTATCACTGACTCAAAGAACGCGCCAAATAATTCATGATTCATTTCTGCTACATGTGTGAAGCTCTTCACACACAATCTCTTGAAGCACTTCAAGAAACGTTCAAGAACATAATGTAAACGCGGTCATAATTTATAAAAGACATTATTACTTCAATTATAATTATTACTTATATATAGTTACCAATGATCTAGATAATTCACTTTTTAAAAATGTAGGTTACCTACCGACATTTATCACTCTTCTTATATCGTACATTTATATGTATTTTAAAGAAAACATTCGTCTAGAAAGTCATGTGACTTATCGTTTATTTTCAAGCGGCTGATTCATACTAATCGGTTACCTCTTATAATAAAGACCCTCACGTATCGAATATGCGCAAAGCATACAAAGTCTTGTGTGTACTTAACGTTTTAAGTCACACGTAACGAGGTCAATTTAAAAAACGTAACATAATAATACTATCTGATACAACGAGTAAAACAAATTCAAAACAACATAGAGATCAAACCTTAGCGTAAAAAGGAATTTCAAATTAAAGTATGAAATATAAAATTCTGTGAAGGTAATAGAGAAAATTCTGGATTATATGTGAAAAGTGTACAACTTTATCTACTACCAAATAAAATTTAAAATTGTACAGTTACTCTACAAACTTTTTTGAATTTGAGCATTTAGTAAATACATTTCTGTGTCAACATGATTAGAAACTTATTACTTAAAACGAAGCAAGTAATTAAATAATTACTTAATAATATGCAAGTAAAATTAATTACGATTGTTTTAATGCGATTAGTATTGATCTGTCAACATGGTTTTACCATGTTTCGGTGTACAAAATTTTCCATTGAATGCAATCAATACTTCAAAAAAACTTCGATTATAAGGCTATATTTCCCCAAAATATTTTGAAATCAATAACAATGTAAAAGATTTTTCGATTTTTAATTTTTTGTTCTCAACATTGATATTTTCTTTTTGTTGATAATTTGGTAGAAGTAACCTCAATTGCCAATAAACAATAAATCTATTTTGATAATATCTTACTGTATTTTTTAAATTATATATAACTTTTTTTAAATGTTCGCACTGATTTACTTATTTCTCATAATAACGAATTAGAAATAAAGTTGTAATAAATTATATTAATCGTTTTTTATAGTAAATGTTATTATAGGGATAACCAATTTAATTAAAACGAATGTATTTGATAAGAACATTTAAATCAGTAATGACTCGAACATGTTTTATTAATTGTAAATTGTATAACTAATTTGTTATAGCATAGTTGGTGCTAAATAAACAAGGTGAATTACGCGTCCGAGTTTATAAACAATATTCGGTCAATGAAAAGTAAGTTATCTACCTTGAAATTCTCTGTTACGTGAATTCATGAAAGTATTATTATTACCAAGATAAATATTTAAATTAACAATGTATTTTTAAAGTTGAACATAAAATTAGTGACATTCGAATTTGAAACAATTCACTTAGATTCGTTAAGTTCTATTAATTTTAAATATACACATCCATACGTACATACAAAATAAATACATGCATACATACATACGAATACTATATATCAGCGTAGAATATGAAAAGTAATTTCTTAAACATTTTAATTGACAGCTACTTACATGATTTAAATCTGTAACCGAACTTCGAAAATCTCTATCTATATTATTGATTTGACAATTTAAGGTTAATTAAAGATTCATTTGAACGCAAACAAACTGTTGAAATTGATAATATTTATACAAAATTGTAACGAGTTATAAATGTATAAAAAGATATATAGATCGTATCATGATCATAAATATGTTTATAAATGCATCACACGTAGATAAATCGTTTTAAGTATAAAGTCTATACGATCGTATCTATACCACAGTTTGCGCACGATACGATTCAAATAATCAATGCGTCAGTATGAAACGCGATTCGTAAATGATTAATCATTTTATATGGAGAGTGCAAGTCCTTCGGATCACCGATTTAATTGAAACTTTACAGATTTATAGATTTCGTCATGCAGTTCAAGAATATATATCATTATAGCCGTCACTACTCAATAATTTTTGAAATATTTATGATTAAAGTTTTACTACTTACATAACTATAGAGTTAGTGCCACTTCTTGCCGAACGAAGTCGTGGCCTAACGGCAACATTCGAAAATTCCTACGAATTAGGTCTTGGGTTCGATTCTCCTCCCGTCTTTAATCCAATTTTTTTCTTCAATGTAGTTTATATTTTGTATTCATTTTTCGCCTATGAAAACATTGTAAATAAACAATTGTAAGTCAAATTTCTTAATAAAAAAATTTATTTTTTATCCTTTCTTATGCTGGTATATATTTATTACAAAATAATAAGAATATTATGCAAGAAAAACTTTCTATAGCAATCTTATTTACTACTAATTATTAAATTAAACATTGTACAAGAATGTTGTCTATAATTCCAACTTTGTTGTGCAGCTATAAATGTTCATGAATTAGTTACAGAAACTTGGAAATTTATTAATTTTCTTTTGCCGAATAAATACAAATTTTACCGCCTGCGATCAGCAGAGAGGGGATAGAAAAGGATAGAATGGCTCCGACAGTGAAAAATTAATAAATTACTCAATTTCCGTAATTAATTTATGAACTTTTATAATTTCATTGTAAAGCTAAAACTTCAGGCAATATTCCTATATAATTTTCGTAAAGAATTTAACTCCAAATTGTTAGTTATTAATTATTGTTTAATGGCTTCTATGATTTCGTAACGACGAACGTCACGATCTTCCGTGAAAATATTTAATACTAAACGAAACTAGAAGCAAAATATGATCAAAAGTTATATGAGAAGATTCGCAAGAACATTGTTTTTATAATGAGTGCCTAAAGTTCCATAAATTAATTGCGTAAGGATAGTAATTAATGAAAAACCAACGGCATCTTCGACAATCTTCGACAACAATTCAAACACTACGCAGAAAAATTATTAATAATTAATTAATTAGGGACAAATTTATATCGAAAAATATATTGGAAAGTTCGTTAAGGATCTGGCTTTACGATGCAATTATAAAAGTTCATAAATTAATCACAGATATTGAGTAATTAGTGAATTTTCCACTGCCGAAATGGTATATTAGGAAGTAACAGGAGCACATAATCAGAGTTAGTAACATATTTGAAGATAATTAGTGACATCTATGATTTTGAACTCGAAACTCGGATAAGGTAAAAAGAACAGATTGCGCTTGGAGGTCGCCTAAATCCTCGTGACGTGTTGGATGAAATAAATAAAACAATCAAATGACTTAATAACCAATACACATACATTTCCCTTCTTTTTTATTTAAGAACTCCATAAAATTTTCTACATTCTTTAATAAATTTAGCCCAAACAATGGTTTTAATTAGACAATCAGCATTCATTTCTTTACCTGGCAGACGACAAATGTGCAAAGGTACGCCTTTATAACGTAATTATGAAAGTTCATAAATTAATCAGAGAAATTGAATGACTTGCTAATTTTTCTCTAAGTGAACAGGAGAGTGTATAGAAAATCAGAAAAAATTGCAAACAAACGCCGGACGCATTGTTGGGTACATGCAGGTGCGCATGCATCACGCAAAAGAATGTAAGTCTTTGTATTAACACAACCATCAGTTGAATTAAATAGTGTAAGTTCTGAGCTATTGTTTTTCTACCTTTTATTAGTGATAGCAGAGTCTAGTTGTAAAATGACAATATTCTGTTGAAGTAAATGGGCACATGCAACAAGATAAAAATATTGGACTCGTGGAATATTACCAGCGTAGAGTCATTAGATGCCACTAATTATTTTTCATGTGGAGAAAATATTAAAGCAGTAATACAAGTATGTAAGGTTTGATATGTCCATTTGATTTTAGGTTGACTGGCCATATGACATACAGGATAGACATATTTGATGGTGAATTGAAAATTGAGAAAAGGGAGATGGATGTGGCAGATAAAAATGGATTTAAATTAAATTAGGTGATGTTATCTTGTATCAACATGATATGGTGAAAGGTACGTTGTGATCCTGATCCGAATAAATATTGATATCAGTGGACAAAGCCACTGACGAACGCTAATGTGTTAAGTTTCAAAAAGTTGGCGCTAAATTGTATAAAGAAAGGGGAAAAGTTCAAGTGGAAGCAGTGAGAACAGGAAATACATATGTAAAATCAAGAAACAGAAAAGGGGCAGCATATCTATGAACATAGAAAGATGTGCGACATCGATGATTGGGTCATGCAAATATGAGGATCATTGAAGAGATGGAGAATGAACAAATGGTAATAGTTATAAAATTTAAGGATAAATTGAATATAGAGTTAATATAAATATTGCATTAAGGCACAAATGTGTAGAAATATCTATAGGAACATGGAAAAAGTAAAAGCAACAAGAATACTGGGGCTGTGGCACATGGAATTGATTGGGCCAGTGAAGCTAATGTTAAAAGGACATAAAGGTATGTCTTATCTGTTGATGGTTATTTGAGAAAAGAACCATTTGGTTGACTGATTTATAAATGACTAAAAATTTAATATGAAATATTGACGATGGATTTTTTTTTATTATAGGAAACTTACAAACATGAGTAATATTTATATGTAAGAGCCAGTCACTAAGGGTAAAGTAGTAAGTATTAGTTAATAATGTTTCAATAGATTGTATATCTGTTTTTAAAAATTTAACCGATATACAATATTTACTTTCTAAATTTCTATATTAATATATTAAATAATTTCTAATTTGAATTGCAATAATAAATAATAAATTTTAATAAATTTGATTTTAAAAACATTGTACATGAATAAAACTAATATATTTGTTATAACTAGGTTGTAATGAAAACAACTGTTGGTGATATTGAGGCAGAATTATGGGTCAAAGAAACTCCGAAGACATGTAGAAATTTCATACAATTATGTATGGAAGGTTATTGGGATAACA